GGGAGCCAGGGCGGAGCCCGCCGGTGCCCCTTGAGGAGGCTCCGTGAAGGCCGGACGATGTCGGATGGAGTTAGTCCGAGGGAGAGCTTGAAGAGGAAAAGCGGCTTCTCTGAAGCCTCACCTTTCCTGGTGTCTGACGTAGCCGAAAAACACATAGCGAGGAGCGTGCACCCTTACCAACGCAGGTTACGGGCCTTTCGCCGACCTCTGGGGTGACGGGGGCAGGTGGGTGGCTGTGCCGGCTGCCCCCGGCTGGCGCCTTCGGCAGGAGCTGCCTGCGCCCAGCGCTCGCTTTGCTGCGCCTCTTCCCCCGCAGCGCGATAAATGTCTCCGCTGCAAGCACAGGTCCAGACAAAAAACAAACAAACAACTGGATGTCTAGAAAAACGCGATAGAAAAAGCTCAAAGTGCAGTAACACCCTCAGATCGGCATAAGGAAGGAGGAAGCGGCGTAGCCAAAAAGAAAGAGGAAGCTTTAAGCTTCAGTTTTCACAAAGTCTGCAGAAATGCACAGAGCTTGCTGGCAAGGACGCCTAATTTCTATATAACACCTGAAAATCCAGAGCAGAGAGCACCATAGAAATAAGCGTCTTATGCAGCAAGTTGGAAGACTTAATGTTCATTGTATAAAGACCTGGCTGTTTAATGGGCTATCTCGTACTTCCCCCCCAATTTCAAAAGGGCAGACGTAGTTACTAGAATTACCACTATCTTAGGTCTGATACAATCTAATTTCATGGTGTGTGATCCAGCCATGAACAAGTAAAACATCCTTTCGCTTCAATACTGCCTGCATAGTTTTGTTTTCATTTCTATATAAAGACAATATTAAAAGGCCTGTTTTGCTTACCTAGCTAGCAAATGCATTTTACACACTCACTGAAGTCAGCATGCCATTTCACGGGCAATCCAAAGCTGTTACTGATAAATACAATACTAATAAAAACTTAATTTGCTTTTATATTTTTGCTGTTGCCTCTTTTTAATACTCTTGTGCTCCTTTTCCATTCACTGCGTGAAGCATCAAGCACTGTTCCTCTGGTGAAACACAGACACTTCTAGTTACAACCAACACTCGGGTAAAACCACGTTTTGTTCAGAAACGCCTGCCGAGCTGTACAGACAAAATTGCTGTGACATCAATACGGTGTCGTTATCTCAGGATAATACTGTCTACGCTTTGTGGAGGACACAAGTACAACACCAATGGCATCTAGTTACACCAAAACTCTGTCTAAACAGTCTTGCCGCCTCTCTGCCTGGCTTTGGCTCTGCTTTGCAGGTGGGTCGTGTCCCGCACAACCCCAGTGCTGCCCGCAGCACCCAGAGGGTGTCTCCCCTGCTCGCCCAAAGGCCGGGCACACAGATAGGGCAATTTAATTCAGAAATGAGTTGCAGAGATAGTAAAACCACCTCCTCGTAATTACCTTCGTGACTTCGCGTGCTGTGTGTGACATCTTGCCATACGATAAGTCCCTTCCAGTGCATCTCTGACGCCCAGCTCCCAGCCACGCATCCGCTGCGCTGAGCTAAAGCCGGTCGCAGGGCTTGGTCCGGCTCTGCCTTCGTAGGTAATTTCACACCACCTCTGTTGGCTGCAGCATCTCGCAAGTGCCTGAGCACCTGCACCTGCGGGGAGATGCTTATTTATTGGCTCTAAGTAGGAAGACAACACACTAATCCTCACTTCAGCATGACTAAAAAGCCACTAGCCTTTCTGTGATGTTTTTCCGCCAGGCTCCCTCTATTAGATGTTTGTTTTCCAGGGGTGTTGTGCCAAAGGGCCTCTGGCTGCAGCTGCGCTGAGCTCACGCCTGATTTCTTGTGAGAAAGTGCCATCCCGTGGCTGCGCGTGACATCCTTGCTGCTGCGTGTCTGAAAACTTAACCTCAGGGCAACCAGAATCCCTTGTCCCCACAGCACAGACCTGCTGCAACCAGGCCGATGGCCAACCGCCCCCCCCTCGCTCATCCCCAGCCGCCACGGCCTCTCGGCAACAAACCTGAACTCCAGCAGTTCAGCTCCCACATCTTCATTAGTTTCTGGCTTCCTCGGAGTTTTACATGGACGCTTAGTTTTTATTTACCTGTTCATTGTAATTCTTTGGGGGACAATTGTTGTTATTTTTCCCTGTTAACGAGGTCTGGCTTGATCACAGGGGTTTGCAAGCTGGAGATGCCATTACAACAAACAAGCCAAAACTAATCACGACCCTACAGACTTTCACCACCCTACAGACTTTCATCTCAAACCAGAACTGCTGCTGAAAGGACCCTTGACATGACTGTGGGCAGGAGTGTTCTACCTCAAGCTTCTAATGCAAGAAAATAACAGGTATTTCTGATACTCAAAGTTGGACAACCAGACAGGTTTCTGTCTTCCCAACTCAAGCCAATTTAGGTCCTGAGCGTCAGTGGAAATCGAGCACATTTAGGCATTTTATCCACAAAAAACAGAAATAGAAACCACTACCTTTGTTTTTTGTTTAATACAAATTAGTTTTTAAGCTGCTTTCCAGCTGGATGGCCCCAGCATGTCCTGGTGCCTGGGGCTGCTCCTCCCCAGGGGCAGCGCTTGGCGCTTCCCCTTGCTGAAGTTCAGGAGGTCTCTCTCACCCCGTTCCTCCAGCCTGCCCAGGTCCCTCTGGATGGCAGCACCACCCTCTGCTGCATCAGCCACTCCTCCCACTTTGGTGTCATCTGCCAACTTGCTGAGGGTGGCCCCTGCCCCACCATCCACATCATTAATTAATGAAGATGTTAAATAAGATCAGACCCAATATTAAGCCGTGGGCTACACCACAAGTTACTGGCCTTCAGTTAGACTTCATGCCACTGATCACCACCCTCTGGGCTCAGCCAGTTTTTAGTCCACGCTTCTTCCACTTATAAATTCTAATCAATCCACATGAATGCCAATAACATTTTTTTTTATTATTGTTATTCACACACAGTTGAGCCGTGTGTCGGGCTGTGTCAGACTGCTGTGGCTGCAGTAGCAGCAGGTCTAGCAAGGTAACTCCAGGAGAGGACTCAATCCATTCACAGCTGAATATACCAGTAATATCTCTTCGAAAAACTTACAGCAGAGATGTCTTGTCTACTTAGAAACCACAGGGATCTTGACACGACAGACTGAGCCAGACATCAGAATCCTTAGTTAGCGGTTTGGTTGTTGGACTAAGGAATTACCTCAAATGAATGTGTTCAGCCCAAGTTCAGGAGCAGCTATTTTCCCCTCCCCAGTAAAGGAGTCTACAGAGAGGCCTTTAATTTTCCTTAGCCAGGCCTTCTTGCATGCTCTCTGCTGATCCTCTGTGAGCTTTGTCTGGTGTGCCCCATACTGAGCTATGGCAGCCGTCTCATACGCCTCCTTCTGTTTTCCTGTCAGGAGCCTGAACCCACTGTTGCTTGGGGAAGGGTCTGCAGCATACGGAATAAAAGGCTTTTTTCTCCTGGAAACCGCTTCATTTTTCATTTGTGCAATCATCACCCGTGTTGATTTGATCAGTTCAGAAGAAGCCGTAAAGGGGTCGATAAGCTGAACCCCATCTTCAGGGAGAGGATTGACTTTACGCTGTCGTCCCCTGGGAGCTTTCTTTTCTCGCAGCAAACCACAAGTCTTGGGACGTACGATGGAAGGAGCAGGGATGGAGGACATCACAGTGGGTCCATGCAAAGAGCTTTTCAGCTTGAGCTGCAGCATTTTGGTTTCAAAGGGTACAGAAATTCTTTTCATCATCAGAGAATCGCTGTGCAGTCTCGCACGTTGGAGCTGGACTGCCTGGTCCTTTTTGTGTTGCAGAGGGGTTTGGTATAGATGTACTTTTTCAGGGCGGCGTTGCTGATGTTCCCGTGGAGGTTCCTGTGTTTCCCTGACTTTTGCGGTGTGTTTAATACTGGAGCTGGCGGCGGCTGCCTTGTGGGCGTTCTGCAGCGTGCTGACCATTAAGAAGAACTTGTCAGGGGACATGGGACAACACAGGTCTCGTCTCTTTTCATGCTGCAAAGCGGCTTCTGTCCTGTCAGGATGTGCAGATGCGTAGAGAGAAGGGCCACGTTCAGATTTGCCATCTGTTTCCAAAAATAAAAACAACACATTTGGAGTTGAGGATAGTTTGGATAGATGAGGACAGTTGAGGACTACAATGGTCCCTCCCAACCCCTACCGTTCTGCGATTCTGTGACAGTTTTTGTGATCGTTGTTGGCAGGGTGGTGCTCTAAGCAAGATCAGGGATGGGTGCTGTGTTGACAGGCATACGGGCACCCCAAGTTTATCTATAGCTACAAGCCCATGGTGCCCATTTCAGTTTGCTCATCCTCGGCCACACTAGTGACATTGCCACCAGCAGAGCTACCTCTGTTTTGGCTTACTGAGAAGTGGTCCTTACCATAGCCTGTATGGGTCAAACTCAAGTCAGATTCTCTGACATGACGGTATTCGTGTGCGGATGGCTCAGTATCCACCTTGGTTGAAACCATGGTTTCGAAAAGGAATGAGGTTCCCCACCACCTCTTCCCACGCACCCCGTTCTTGTCCTACAGTTTGTGCATTGGGAAAAGGCTTCAAGACAAGTCATGGAGAAATCTTGGAAGTAGCCAACACCTGGGAACTGGTTTGAACCGTTACACCTCAGAGCCGCGTTTGAATTGGAAATGGCAAGACACGCTTCACAGCCTGGCTTTGCCACCTCGGGGGCGTAGGGAGTGACCTGTGCTGTATGACAGACACATCAAGATGGACTGTGTGATTATGCCCTTGGCTAAGGAGTAGGTGGGGATTATGGCACAGCCTGCGCGAGACGCTCGGTCCCACGGCCTTGACATAGCGCTTCATTTGTCACTTTGCAATGTCACGCTGTTCGCGTATCATCGCTTTGGAAACAATTCTGTTTTTCCAGACTGGTTAACTGAAACTTCCACCCTCTGGAAATGTATTTCAGAGAACATTAAGTTACAGTGCAGGAAGGCAGAATACAGCAAAATAAACTAATGAAAATGACTGCTTGTTCTTCATTCCCAGAATTCAGAACCATTTAATCTGCACCACCTTAGTGACAAACACCAGCAGTTTGGGGCTAGATACTTTCAATTGGTATGGCTCTTCTAAGTAAGATTTCAGAATATGTCTCAAACTTTAAGATCCCAACAGATTCTGAATATAAAACCTGAGAATAATTAAGATGAGACAAAAGCCACGTGGCCACAGCCCACGTTTGTGATCTCAGCACTATCTCATTTTCAAGTTTCAGGTTGCCACGTTGTTGCTGGCTGAGACAGTTTACATGTAATATTTTAAAACCAATTTTTTTAGTTACTGCTACTGAATACCAACTACTTGAATAAATTTTGTGCGCAGTTCTCCTACACCTGTTAAAGTAATCAAAAAATAGAACAAGGATATAGTACAAAAGAAAAACCCCACTGAGATACCAGAGAACGGCTTTATAGCTCAAGCTGATCACTTCTATCTGTTTGATAGATCTAAAGCAGCTTCTGTAGCCACCACAGGCTCTGCAAGTGATCTGTCTTTCCGCTGCAAACCTTTCATCCAGAACAGGCCCGTCTTCCAGAGATCCCGACCTTTTATTCCATCCATTCACATACCTTAGGTGCCCTTGTTTGCAGAATGACTGTCCTGCCTAACTGCGAAGAGTCCTTACCGCTGTCTGCTGGGATTCCTGCAGAATGTGCTCTCGCTGCCTTTCCCAAGGCAGAGGCACGGGCTGGCGTGGTGCCAGGGGTGGAAGGCTTTTTCGGCTGCTCTGCCTGGAGACGAAAAGTCTTTTCCATCTTGAGAAAACGCTGCCGCTGCTGGCGAGCTGCTGCTTTCATCAGCTCATAGCAGAGAGCTAGGAAACAGAAGAAAAAGCCATCTCTAAAGTTCGCTGGTGTTAAACTTTTTTTTTTTTTTTTTTTTTTAAATAAAATCTTCATAAGTGATGGGATTTCAAGTCTTTGGTTACTGTTTTGCCTCTTATCACAGCTTCTAAAGGTCTAGGTACTCGAAATAATCCAGAGATATTTGCATATAAGCTGCATCACAGAGGTTACCATCCGATGGCCTTGAAAGCAGGAAAACCTTCTTGGCCCTTGAGTTTATCTGCAATATACAGTTTGATTGTAGAGCTGGAAGATTTGTGGTGCATACTGTATTAAATAACTGCTGATTTAAAAAAAATATAAAAATAAAATAACATCACAATGTTACAATTTAAAAGGTGCCTGCTTCCGTGGAATTGCATTTCCCGGTGGTGGCAGATCCTCAGTGCAGGTGTCCTATGACTTTCTAGAGTATTTTCTCATAAATAATTCGAGCACTGAATCAGCAGCCTGCTTCCGTGCGCGCCAGCTGTGAGAATCTGAATACTACTCCTGATTTCGCTATTACTCAGGTAGAAAGCGACAGTGCCTGTTCTTGGCAAACATGTCGAATTTATACCAAACCATTCCAAAAAAGGTACAAAGGTTTTACAAAAGCCTGGAAATGACAGAACTATTGAAATGCAACAGCGCATCTACCAGACTGCACTCTTAAAAAAAAAAAAAAGCAGTGAGTCTGTTATTGATTCAGATGAAGGCAGCGGGTACTTGAAATTATTTCTAACTCATTATAAGATGATGCTGCAGTACGGCGGGGGCTGTACGTCGTACCTTGAGATACTCCCCAACCTTTCGGTGACCAGCAGCGGATCCAGCAAGACGGCAGGAGCTGGTTGGCATCTTGCGTCTCCAGAGCAAGGGGGTGCATCAGGCTGAGGTCGTGGCGTTTCAGGCGCTGAAGGCGCAGCGGCATTGTGCTTGAAGCCCCCTCAGACTGGTTTTTCTTCCCCACCGTCTCTCGCTCGGTGCCTAAGGTGTAGTCCCACCTGACATCCTCAAACTGGAACACCAACAGACTAGTTGGCGAGTTGACCACCATCCTGGAGAAGGGAAGGAAAAGCCGTATAAAAGCCCAGATATCGGTTAACGCAGGAGTTAGTACCTCACAGGGCCATTTGCTTCTGTGCAATACAAAACCTGAGAGGGCACTTCAGCAGATCTGAGATAACCATCACCTGTTTAAGGCAGCGGTAGCAATTAGTCCCATCAATCAGACACAGTACATTTTAACTCATACTCTGTAGGAGCTCGCCGGGGCTCTTTTCATTCAGCTCTGTGGCAAAATTAGTTTTAAAATAATTAGGATGAAAATTGCCAACAGTGGACTGAGCTAGATCAGTGCAATGCCAAAAGAAACTGGAGATACCACATCATTAAGGACATTTAAACCTAAATTGGAGGGGTGTACTTGGTCTGGTTGGGATGGAGTTAACTTTCTTCATAGCAGCCCGTGTATTGCTGTGTTTTACAGTTGTGACCAAAACAGCATTGATAACACACCAGAGGTTTAGCTATTGCTTACACAGAAACTGGGAACTACCTTCAGCTGAGAGGTGCAGACATGAAGGAACCTGGAAGTGTTTTCTATGCTTCGCTTTTGTGAAGAGGCAGTAGGTCAGGGAGCAGGTAAAGGCTTTGTCAGGCCTTGGCTCGATTCCCCCTCTTAAGAAATTTGGTTTCTCAGTTCAGCTTTACAGCTGGTCCATAGAATTGTTTAGGCTGGAAAAGACCTTTGAGATCGTCAGTTCCAGCCATTAACCCAACACTGTCAAGTCAACCACTAAACCGTGTCCCTAAGTGCTTCATCTACATGTCTTTTAAATACCTCCAGGGATGGTGACTTGACCACTGCCCTGGGCAGCCTCTTCCAATGCTGTATTTTAAGTTGTATAGAAACAGACTGTTGTAGATTGCAAATCGATTTTCAGCCATTGCTAACAATAATGAGTTACTGAAGCAGTCAATAAGCAGTAGAGCCCTTTAAAGCTTCTTTGTGAGAAGGACAGCAAAAGAAAAAAAAATACATAATTCCTTAAATCACAATGTTATCTGCCTGGTTTGGTTCAGAGACTGATGGGAGTTGTCATCACCAACCTGTTTTCTGCAACACAGAAAGAAGATACGGGGTCCCCTCTGCTATTGGCCATCAACACTTTCAGGCAGGTTCCAGTCAGGTAATTAAATATACGTATCTTTCCGTCGGCACAGCCGCTGATGACTCGGAGATAGAAGAACTCCAGAGACAGAACTTCCCTGAAAATACAGTGTGTCTGCACTGGTACATTCATCACGCTTTCCCAAGGAGTTGTGATCAACCACCTCTTTTGCCTTGGAGGAAACGCAAATTCTGCCTCCATCAACGGGCTACACGCCCGTTATTTTGAATATCTCATGGAGATATTCAAAAGGCCGAGTAGTGAAGTCACACAACGGTCAGGGCTGGAAGGGCCTTCTGGAGCTCCCCTAGTGCCACCCGCTGCCAGAGCAGGGGCACCTCCAGCAGTGGCACAGGACGGCGTCCAGGCGGGTTTGGGATGGCTCCAGAGGGGGAGACTCCCCCACCTCTCTGGGCAGCCTGTGCCACTGCTCTGCCGCCCTCACAGCAGAGAAGTTCCTCCTCAGGTGGAGATGGAACTGCCTATGCTCCAGTTTGTGCCCGTTCCCTCTTGTCCTGTCACTGGGCACCGCTGGAAAAAGTCTGTTCCCCTCCCCCTGGTACCCTCCCTTTGGGGATTGGTAAGTGTTGATAAGATCCCCCCTCAGTCTTCTCTTCTCCAGACTGAACAGCCCCACGTCCCTCAGTCTTTCCTCATCAGAAAGATGCTCCAGTCCCCTCATCATCTTTGTAGCCCTTTGCTGGACCCTCTTCATAAGTCCTTCATAATCACTCTGTGTCCAAACCAACCAACCCAGCACGTCCTCAGAGAAACCAGTGCTGTTATGGCCATCCGCTGCGTTTCAAATTTCATTTTTATGGCTGGGAAAGTAAAGGAAAACAATGGAATGCTACAGATTTCACAGTTCTGATAAGCAATTAAAGTATTTGTAAATAACACGATATAGAGTTGGTAGGGTTCAGCAAGTAACTTGGCCACCTCTGCCACAGCCAGTACCTTTTCGTGACCAGGCAGTGCGACACCCACAGACTGGGATCCTCGAAGGGTTGGGCTGTCAGTCTGTCACCCCTGGTTGTGAACAAGCAGTTGCTTATCTGCATTTTAGGCTGTTTACAGGTCTTAACTGACAAACACTGGTTCTGACATCTTGGCACCTGTCACCACTTTAAAGAGGAAGGTTGTTGAAAGTGAGGATATTTCAAATCCTAAGAAATAATTAAGGCATTTTGTGTTCCTATAAGAGACATTTTCTACACGGATTTAGCGGACAGTTGAATACAACTTGAAACACGCCCAATTCCTACTTCGGGTGGCAGAAAGCCGTTAGGCATCTCTTCAGGTTTCCCAACATGCTCCATCCCAGGGCGTATCCATCGGTGCTTCCCGTGACGAGGTGCCACTGATCAAAGGACAAGCACTTCACGGGGCCTTGGTGCCCCTCTAACGTCTGCAACGTAAAAGAAATAGGTGCAACGCTGTCAACAATCTGGACGTAAATATGCCAAAATATCTTGCGGCGTTCACAATACCCACCGCATATGGTATATCGCGGTTTTACGGGTGTTGTGATAATATATCAGTACATCCTATGGGTAACTGGGTTAGTTTGATGGTCGCTTAAAAGAAATATTCTGGGTTGATGGCGAGCTACCAGCACAGAATTCACATACATTTTCCAGCTTTATTGCATGTGCTAAATAGATTATTGTGAGCTATTGTGAGCTCAGAGATGCGGACTAATACTAATTGTGGATGTCTGCGAAGATAATTAGCAGACTCTGGCCTCAATCTTTACATGGCAGGGCAGCTATCCAGCTGCTTCAGCGTTATAAACTGGTTCTGAGAGCAAAGTTTCATATTTTGGGCTAACCCATGATGCCTCTGACAACAAGAGCTGTTAGTCAAGCCCTTCCCACCCTCTTCCCAGGTTCGGAATGTTTCCGCAGGAGAGAGATGAATGGATCTGCAGAGAACAAGTAATGATGGGGGTTAAGAAGGACAAATCAAACACCGGGTTAAGATTGGCAGTTGTTTGCAAATCAGTTTTAATACTATTTACTCACCAATAATTCTACAGTTTAAACAGCTTTTGGGGTTTGGATTATTTTTAATTTTTTTTTTTATTTTTTTTTTTTAAATAAAGTCTTTGGCATAATCAAAAAAAAAAAAGCTCTAAAACAAGCACAGGAGATTTTGGACAATTTAGAACAAACTTATCCACCTAAGAAACTTACTTTGATCAGAGCGCCTGTGTCAACGCACCAGACTTTCACCAGCCCTCGGTCGCACCCGCTGACAACGCGGGTGCCGTCCGTCTTCACTGCCCAAACAGCACTGCTGTGCTTCAGGGTCTTGAGACACTTCCCACTCTCCAGGCTCCACACTGTCAGGGGCAAAGTGGAGAGTTATTAAATACGTATGCCCCAACAATACTACTTTTTTTTTTTTTTCCTGATTTAATTAAAAGATGCTGCTGGAATTGCAGCTCTGCGTGGAGCCACGTGTCGGCATGAAGAGTCTAATTGCATTGTGGATTTTTTAAATGTGAAGTCCAGGAAATGGCACATCCCTGTCAGCCTTACTCTGTACGCTAACAACAAGGAAATCTCTATCAAAGCTGGAAGTTGATGACACTGTCCCAAGACTTGGTCTAGCCCTATAGCCCCAAAGTCATTAAAACTGAATAAAAGCAGAAATAAGGGCAATTTGTTCAATGACACGGAGCCCTTGTATGTGCATGTGTCAGCTTAGGCTGTTCTGGAAGCAAAAATACGAGACACTAAAATTCACCTTCCGATTTCTAGGCTTACTTCCCAGCTCCTGCTCCTCCCAAGCCCCACGTACGCTGTCCGTCGCTCAACTGCTGTTCGCCGCTGGCTGGGGAGCTGCTGGGCTTGGCTCTCACCTTTCACCATCCCGTCTCTGGCTCCTGACACAAACTGCTCTTCGTGTAAATCCAGGCAGGTGATCGTCCCACAGTGCCCATTAAAGACTTTCGTACAAGCACCGCTGTATATATTCCAGCATCTACAGAGGGCCGGGCAAAAAGGGAAGACAGTCATTAATTGATGGTTTATTCACTGTATTCATTATTTCCTGCTTAACAGGCCCAGCTTTTCTCCCATACACACTAGGTTAAAATCAGGAGTCATTCCACTAAGGTGTCGGAGCATTTGGAATGATCAAGTCAGGCTTAGTATTACATTTTTACCTGTATACCTCATTCTTCTGCCTCCAAACTGCCTGGAAACACGTGGTTGGATTTCACCTTTGGCACAGTTACCTTCAATTAACCTTAAAATTTAGAGCTTTACAGATAAAGTTGTTTCTTTACTGGCCGGTGCCAAGATGATTTCTGTTGACTTTATCTAGGGGACACAAGCCTGCACATAAAAACCAGCCCTTTCGGAGCGGGAAGAGCAGGGAGGACACAGCCCGAGGCAGTATAAACTCCATTTTCCTTAAATGCTGCCTTCGATGAAGTTGGGCAATTGCCATACCGGAGCCGGACAACTTGTTGTTTAATGTTTCACCCCTCATCGTGATACTTTTGAGATTTAGTGAAAAATAAGACATAAGAGCTGAACATCTCCACCCACCCCTTGTTTCAGGGTGCAGTACCCGGCAAGGAACAGAGGTGCGGCGGGGACCGGGGTGTTGACCCTGCTTAGCTAAAACACCGCGGACAACCCCGGCCTCCCTGAGCTCGACGCTGACCTCAGCAAAGCCATAGTCTCCCTGCAAGTGCCTACGGGAAACACAGCTGCTGTTTTAAGACGCTTTAGGAAAACCTGAGCATCACTTCTCTTCCTATTTTATCATTCAGTACCAGGTGAAATTAGGAAGCAGAAGCTGTCCTATGTGGGTAGGGGATGTGTTTCCTTATCTACTGTTCTTCATTACTCTAATGGAAGCGATAGGAAGGAGGATTCCTAAAGATGGGGGTGGAAGGTTTCGTTTTCCCCAGATTTGCCAAGGGGCTGGTAGCCCAGGGCACAGTCCCCCCTGCTGCTCACCTGATGCTGAGATCAAAGCTCGCGCTGAGAACAAACCCTTTCTTCTCATTGAGGAAGAGCGCTTTGATGCTCCCAGCGTGGCCGGAAAGAAGAGGAGGCACTTCTTTCATTGCCGACATAGCAAGAAGCCTCACTTTTCGGTCTGCAGAGCCAACGGCTACCAAGTTTCCACCGCTGTAATGGATTATTCTGCTCCGGTCTGGTCTGGATAAGAAAGAGTGGGACAAGCTGTAGCCAGCTAGCAAGGTACAACAGGTCTAAGGCCGTGAACAGGCATTTCTCTGATGCTTAATGCTCTTCACCGAGCAACCTCATGGGCAATAGGCTTCAGCGGGTGAATCCTTTGCAGGGCACCACGGCCAAGGTCCCTCGTTCTGCATAGCCAAGTTTGAGGGGAAGCACGGAGGGGGGAGAGGGCTCCTCTCAGCCCTCTATCCTTCGTGATACACTGCGGATTGCCAACCCTTATGTCTTTAAAAACAACTTACCTTGATACCTTTATAAATAACCGGATCTGACCCTGAGGATTTCTTAACACTGGTGCTGAGGGACCTTTCTCCAGCCATACATTCCCACTGAAGGATTGCAAGGAACGGGATAGGTTTTGGGAAGCCACCGTTCGGCCTTACAGCCAGGCGGTCTACTCACTGGTCTGTGAGGACACGGATATTGTAGGAGCCGCAAAAGACATTTCTCTCTTCCAACTGAACCGTGTCAGTTTGCAGATCGTGATAGACCGCCTGCAGATGGTCTTCCTCCTCCTGATGGAAAGGGAAGTAGGGAAATATAAGTCAGAGAAGGGGAAATGCAGCATTATTCCATCATATTAACGTACCGGCTTGGTGCCCACTATAGTGACGTGACCAACAGAGGCAGAAGGTGCTGGTAAAGAACACCCCGAGTGCGGGAACCTCCTGCTTAGTGCAGAAACAAGGCTTGTTCCCATGCTGTGTTCCGTGGCAAAAATGGAAGACCTGAGAGCTTCAGCATTCATTCTTCAGGAAAAAAGCCACATCCTCGTGATGCTGCCCAGCCTTGCCAGCACCTCTGGGGGGATGAGTTAGCTCATGGCAGGCGCTCAGGGAGGCTCCCTCCCACGCAAGAAGGTGCTGAGCAAGCACTGGTCCTTCCGAATTGCTCAGGAGGGTGCAAGCCAGAAGCAGGAGTGGGAGAAGAGCAAAGCAACCCCAAATTCAGTCCTGTCCTCCAAGACCACCGTGCCCTCCTTCCTCCCCAAATACCGAAATGCAGGATCCACGGAAGGCAAACAACCTCCAACATACCTTCAGTTTGCTTTCCCAAGTGTGGCGTTTCACTTCGATGACATCACCCTCTTCATTTAACTGTGGAATTGTCACACTGACTGTTTTAGCATAGTTTGAAACTGCTCCTCTTGGGGACAACCCCTGGAATAAACCAGTAGAGGCAACGCAGTCACTGCAGAGCCCGTGCACCCAAAGGATACTGCTCCTGTGTTGATGCTTCAGCATCTCCATGGGACGCTCAAGTTACGTGCAAAGCTGAGCTGCACACGCTGGTATTGTTTAAGAGACCAGGCTTGCAGTTACCATTTTGTTGGTATAAGATTTAACTTCTTGTGAAAAATAGTATTTTTTTTTCCAAACTCTAGTCTTAAGCTTTTAATACGCTGCAAAGCTTTTCCATGTCACCAGAAAGAAAACTGAAAGCGCACCTCATCTCTGGTGAGTGCTCAGTTGATTCAGAATCCGAACCCACTGAGATGCTCTCCAAACATCTTTATCAACATCTAAGATCGATTTTTAATGTGTGAAGCCTTCCATTAAGCCTTCTTTGAATGCTAGCACGGACCTGAGATTTCCATGCTCTCTTCACAAAGCAAAGCGTGAAAAGACCCCTAATGTTATCTCTTTGGGGGTTCCCCTTTACACTTGGCTTGGTCTATGGCAGGTCTGTACTAACCAGAACAAGCCTTTCCTCGGCGTTCTGCTTTGCTCTGTCCCAACCACCAGTTCGGACTTCTCACAAAGAAACCTAGTATTCCCATCTTCTTACGTGGAGCAAATAAAACTCATTTTTGAGCTGCCTCAGGGAACCATTGTAGCTCTGCCCAATTTCCACTAGCTCCTGGAAGTTCAGTATTTGCATTTGTGACCCAACTGTTTTCTTGATTACAAGAACGATTTGATCCATTTTGAAAACTGACAGCTCTCTAAAGGTCAGTAAAAGCCATTCTGTTGTGCTTACTTGTGACACTATGAACATCTAACCTGCAGCTCTGCAGCTGAAAGAAGGAGGAACGGGGCAAAGTTGGGAGGTGGCCTCTAGCAAAAGCATCTCCATCTAATGGCTTGGGCAGTCGCAGAAAAACACCCTTTTTTTGAAGTGCACAATAATTGCAGCAGCCCAGGCATCGTACCTGCAAATACAGGATCTTCTCCCGTACTATGCTTTGACACACACGTTCCCTCTTGACTTCTTCGGCCAGAAAAGCCCAGCATCTACTCACGGCAGCGCATGTGTTGAGGGATTTTTGATCCAAAAGCCCTGAGGAATTAAAAGGACAGAGTGGCAAACCCCTATCCGCATTAGACACCACCCATGACCCTTAGGGGAAACCATCCTTAGAAAATCAGAGCAGCTTTACCCAGGATGCCCATGGACAGGTGAAGTGGCAGGCAGCGAATGAAGTCCTTGGATTGGTTGACATGAGGGGATGACTGGAGAGATGGAGGAACCACAGTGTCATCTTGATCAGCTGAAGACATAAGAAGTGAGTTGTCCTCTTCATCAGGACCATCCTGCGAGAAGCTCTCAGTGTTTTGGGGCCAGAAGCACATTGCTGGTGGTTGACCACCTAGAAGACCGAGGAATCGACAGTCTTGTAAGTGCTTGAGCTTTGGTGGCTGTTAATGGTATTAATGGTTAGTAATGGCCTTGAAAGAGTTGGTTGATTTTAATCTGACTCTTCTGCCAATCCCATTAGTATTGTACTGTTTAAAGGAAAATGCTGAAAATACCCCGTGTCTCGCGGGGCAGTCCACACCAGCGGGGTTTGAGGGCAGAGGATGACAACTCTCCCCACACACCACTGCCCTGAGGGCTCCTCACAGCTGGAAAAATCAGGTGACCCACAGGGCCGTGGGGAACCCTGGGTGAGCGTGGTGGGGATGCGGCGTACCGGTTTTCCCTTTACAAACACAAGATACTTCACCTCTTCCACCTCTATCTACAGCGGTCACCAGCATGGGAAGGTGTCTGTCCCAGACTCTAAGGGGGGATGTCAAAACAACCTCACGCCAAGGACATAGCACTTCTTTCCTGAAAAGAGTGGAAAACCTTCTCTTTCCTTAGCCACTAGGTTTTCTTCAGTAGAAATAGGACTTGGGTTAGGATATTGCGGAAGGAAAGAAAGGGGGACATATTTCTCTGTTGTCCCCAAGATAACGGAAGGGCAAACACAGCTAACGCCCTTCTCACATCAGTAGCTTTTGCAGATGAAGATGTCTGGGCATCTTTGCCAAACGGCAACCCTGCCACGGCATAAGGCTCTCCTTCCTTTTAGGTGCAGCACCAGCCCCAGAGCTACGTTTGGAAATTCAGGTTGTGCCGGTGGAAGCCCTAAACCTGACAGAACGTCTCAATCCACACCATGAGCAAAAAGGGAGACACTTCTCTTCCGTCTCTTCGCTAAGAGTGCACTGTCAGCACCTCGGCGAACTTGGGAAGTGGCTCAGAGCAAAGACAAACATCTGTTGAATGGCATCACCTCCTCTCGCATGGCATTTTCCAGTTAATTATTGCCATGTTTTTTTCTTTTCCCCCCAAAGTGACCCAGAACAGAACTGTTCCCAGGCAGTCCCGGTTGTTAATGTTCTGGTATGAAACGCCACAGCTTTTCTCCAGTATTAAATACGCAGATAGCGGTACCCGTCTCACGAAGCTGGCCAGTCCTTGCAGATGAGGTTTTGCTTTTAAGGGCTGCAGAAGAAGCACTGGCAGACCATAGTGGCGATCGGATACGAGCACTGGGCTGAGGACAGCTGTCTTCCTGGAAGCTGCTTTGGGATTCAGCAGATGATCCATCCTTCATCTTCCTCTGGAAGAATTAAGCAAAGAGTCAAACCTTATAATCACAGCTTACAGCTGAATTGGGGGATTGCAGCAGTGAGAATACCATATTAAGTATCTGATAAGTAAATTGTACTGTATTATTTATTCTGTCCATTCTAGCTATGCAGAATTAGTCCCTTCAGTGCCTTCTTTAGTATGGTTTTTATTACTTGGGACATTCAGTCCACAACCACCCATCCTAAGATATGTTGCCCGGAGGAATTCATATGAGGAAGGTTTTGGTTTTTTTTTTTCATTATGTTGTTGTCAACTACGCTTCACGATAGGCTCTGTTCGTCTCCCCTTTCGTGACCCCCTCTTTCACGGGGTTGCTGCACACCTAGAGCTGGCTGTGAGGCAGAGCCCCGGGAGGCTGATGCTGGCTCAGGAGAAAGCTGCCAGGTCTGAGTCCCATCTGGCCCCATCTCCCTCTGCCAGGAACACCCCATTCCCTCTGTGACCTGCGCTCGCCCCCGGCTTTGCCCACTCATTTCCTGCAGCTGAAGGGATCAGAGACCTAAACGATACCAGATTTGCAGTATTAACCAGAAGGTTAACAGCACCAGGCAAATCAAGCTACAGTTAACACTTATGTTGGTTGGGCTGCTTCTTTCCGCGCTTACCCCGTGTACTGCCCGCACGGGGAATTTTGCCACAAGCGATAAAATACCTGCGAGAGAGGGGAACAGCCAGAGCAGCAGCACTGGGAGGTGCCAAACTGCTGCCGCCGATGACAGAAGGGAACCCAGCTGGTACAACTGGTAATGGTACCTCCGTCTTAGCACCTGTCCTGGTTGCAGCTGGGAATTTTTTTTGAGTGAATTTTCTTTCTAGTGATTGCTGTGAAAGGCATGTGAATAATGACTATTGTTTTTAGTTGTTGCTAAGTGATATTTACACTATTCAAGGACTTTTTTTCAGCTTCCAACAGAAAAATAGACAGAACTATGGCATGGCCAATGAACTATTCCATACCATAGATGTCATGCTCAGTATATGAATGGGGGTTGGCCGGGGGTGAGAATCTACCATCACTGCTCTGGGTGGTACCAATTCACTGGGTGGTGAATGATTCCTGACATTATTTTTATTGTTATATTCCCTTTTCTGTTATTGCCTCCATTAAACTGTCTTTATTTCAACCTACAAGGGTGTTCTTCCTCCCTTTACCATTATTTTTTTTTTTATTCCTCTTCCCCCCACCCTTTTTAGAGGGGGAAAAAAAGGTGTGGGGTTGTGAAAAAAAGACTGCATGGTTCCAGTTGCCAACTGGAGTTAAACCACAGCAGCATCACCCCTGGACCACAGTGCTCACCCCCCAGGGATGCACAGCCTGGGCATCTCCTCCACCCGCAGGCCGGCCCAGAGCACACCCCGAGAAAGCTCAGAGGCAGATCTTCATCTCCGGGACGAACAGCTAAGGGTGGCTGCAGCTCTCCCTGTTCCCCAGAGGACATGAGATACGCTCACAGACAGCTGATAATCCCAGTCCTACCACTCTGCAAACAGCAGCTCTTTCCCCAGACAAGGAGGAACACCGGCATGGGCTGCCTGCTGTTTCTCTCCACCACAACAGTGCTCAGTAGTTGCTGATCCTGCAGGGAAGGGTGTGCTAAAAGCCACCCACACTGTGTAACATCATCACAGAATGGTTTAGGCTGGAAGAGACCTAGAAGATCATCCAGTGCCACCCCCTGCCCTGGGCAGGGACACCTCCCCCCAGCCCAGGTTGCTCCAAGCCCCGTCCAACCTGGCCTTGAACCCCTCCAGGGATGGGGCAGCCACAGCTTCTCGGGGCAACCTGCCCCAGGGGCTCACCGCCCGCACAGGGAAACATTTCTTCCTCATATCTCATCTAAATCTCCCCTCTTCCAGTTTGAAGCCATTCCCCCTCATCCTATCACTACATGCCCTTGGAAAAAGTCCCTCCCCAGCTCTGCTGGAGCCCCTTGAGGCACTGGAAGGGGCTCTGAGCTCTCCCCTTTTTGGCCTTCTCTTCTCCAGGCTGACCCCCCCCCCCTCTCCCAGCCTGTCCTCCCAGCAGAGGGGCTCCAGCCCTCCCAGCATCTCCAGGGCCTCCTCTGGCCCCGCTCCACCAGCTCCGTGTCCTTCTTGTGCTGAGGACTCCAGGGCTGGAGGCAGTTACTCCAGGTCAGGTCCTCCTGACAGTTACTAAAACCCACACACTGTGGTGTCCAAAAGCCAACCGTCCTCTTACTTCCCCAGGGTTATTTTTTTGTGTGTGTGTGCCTGTTTTGTTTTGTTTTAACGCACAGACAGTTGCTTTCAGTTCGTGTTAAGTTCAGCTGCTTCGCATGTCTCAACTGGGAGAAATCAAGAGGATTTTGGCAGCTGGGGGGAACCCGGCACAGCCCCAAACAGACGGGTTCTGCCTTCGCTACACCGGTAACCTCCAAAGGCGCTAACGGCAAAACCCCCGCGGCATCAGCACCCCCCAAAAACCCCAAACCCCAGTGGCCTCACTGCCCTCGGTACCAGGTTTGGGTTTTTTTTTTTTTTTTTTTGTCCCCTGTTTTCTGCCCAGACGAAG